CACTGCTAGGTGCAATTCAGGGACTTGTCTTTTCCCTGGGCTAGGTGATCAGCTGATACCTCTCCCATAGTGTCCTTACACTTAAGTGTCAGAGGTTGGGACAGGCACCAGTTTACTCAGGCATCTGTATGAAGGGGGCCATGAAAGGACTGCACCATTTCTGATGGCTCACTAGCAAGGCTAAGATGGTATTGTCAAAATAGACATGCTTCACACACAGTTGCTACTTTCCCTCTACTAATTTGCACACCCACACACAATGAGACAGACGTATCATTATAACAAATTAAAAATAAATTAAATCAATTCTGTTAAAACCTGAGTCAGTATTTTACCCTTGAAAGTGCAGCCTGTCTTACCAAGGGGACGCTGAGGGCTTGAGTTTTTGAACAAGCTGCACCTTGTGTGTGTGTGTAAATGTAAACAGTACCCTGATTGACAGGCCCAGTGTCAGCAGCTGCACATGCAGATTAGTCACACAATTAAGAACTCTCCACACCATTGTTTAAAATCAGCCCCCCACCTTCCCAGATTGATCTGTTTCCTGAATGTGGATGTAGATGAAGATTTTGTTTCAAGGCAAGAGCAGTGCAGACAACTTTCAGTCTTGGAGCCAGCACAAAATCAAATCTCTCTCTCTCCCTCCCTCTAGGACTCACCTACCAATAAACTACTGTATGCCAAGGAGATTCCAGAGTACAGGAAGATAGTGCAGCGGTATTACAAGCAGATCCATGACATGCCGCCCCTCAGCGAGCAGGAAATGAATGCACACCTGGCTGAGGAGTCTCGGGTAAGAAACATGCCAAGCTGTAGGAGAGCTAGGGGATGCTGAGTCCCATACCCAGTGGTGCCAAACAGACTTCACTACCTGTTCTCCATGCTGCTGAGTACTCCTGTCCTGATTGCTGAATTGGGAGCCTGTGGACGAGGCATGCAGTGATCAGCTCTGCAGTGCTGGAAGTTAGGGACTACAGCAGGTGCTACAGTACTGAACCTCACCTGTGCTAAATGGTGAAGGCAAAATCCTTAAAGGAACCATCTCTTGCACTGGATCTATAACCTACAGCCACCTCAGCTAACCCAGCTTAGACTACTTGTGCACTGTAGTTAATGCTCAAACTGCCGTGGGATGTGGACATACCCAAGCTAACATTACATAGCTTGGGCACTGGTTGTGGTCTAGTGGCAGCAGCATGGAGCTCAGTGCCAAAGAGCCTAGAAACTGAGAGCTTGGAAGTATTGGCTCTCCTTGGTTTCTGGTATGCCCAGCATCTGCCAATCCTAACTTCAGAGCAGTCCCTCTGGTGGGCTGCCATGGACCCCAGAAGCCTAGACTCCACCACAGCACACCAGATGGGTTAGCAGAGAGCCACGCTTAGTGAGCAGGCAGCAGCGTCTGCAGCTGTCAAACCACGGTTGGGTTCTGTGGGAGCTGTGTCAACATCAGACCATCTGTATAAAACATTTCAGCTTCCACAGCTGGCCAGTTCCAACAGAAAATATGTGGTCTGGGCATTTCTGATCAGCTCTGGTGCTTGCTTGCCACTGTGGAGCACCTTGAGATCAAGGAATTAGCGATGCTACACAGAGATACTGCAGGCCAAATTCACCCCTGGCATAAACAAATGCAACTCCCATCGATGGCACCTGTTTGTGCCTGGAACACACTTTGGCACCAAGTCCCCAGACCAGTATTAACATACCCTGAATAGCAAAGAAGGGAAAAAGCCATGTTCAAACAACGTGAACTTAGAGCAAAGGCAGACCTGCCCCATTGATTAGCCCAGCTGACCGGGCTGCATTTCGCCACTTGTGGTGTGCTAATACTCCTCCCATTTTTCTCTTTTCATGAAGAAATACCGGAATGAGTTTAACACAAACGTCGCCATGGCAGAAATCTACAAGTACGCCAAGAGATACCGTCCTCAGGTGAGCGGCTTTGGTTGTTAAGGGAAAGCAGTGCTCCATACCTGGTGTGTCTGGGGAAAATACCTTTTGTGGGTGATTGGTTCTGTGTCTCATTAGCCCCTGGAGAAGCGTCCCCAGGAAGACACCACCTCTGTTACAGAGCACCCTGAGCTCAGGGTCCAGGATGGCCATATTTTCCTAAAACGTCTTTCTCCTCCTTCTCTGGCCCCCTCAGTTGTCTCCCCAACATAGAGTTATTTACAGTTTCCATGGGAAACCCACTATTTCATGTCTTTTGTCAGATCATCAGCAGGTTGAGGACACTACCACTGACCACTCAGCCTCATTTTTCCAGGCCTGAAAATTAGCTTGCAAATCCTGGTGGCTGTAAGTGCAGGTGTGGGGGTGCCTGCCTGACTGCATCCACAGACCAGGAGCCAGACACATAGGTGCCTTCGTGCTGCAAACACTGGATGTGGACATAAAGGCCAGGCCTAAGTGGTCATAACAAGGCCTAGTTGTTTGTCAGTGGGCTGGCCCTGCAGGCTTCACGTTTGCATCCAGTAGGGATGAAACCTGCCAGAGAGAGAGAGAGAGAGAAAGCACCTGACTTTGCTTGTGAGGGACTTGCCCTTCTGCTCATGCCCCACACTGAAGTTGGCAGGGATCAGTGGGATTTGTACGGAGCTGGAGGGGGAGCGGCAAGGACTAGGGACCCAAGAGACGGGGAATGAATTTCTTGGTACTCCTGCCCTTGCAGATTGTGAATGCCCTGGACTCCAACCCCACAACGAAGCGCACACAGCTGCAGCACAAGTTCGAGCAAGTGATTGCACTCATGGAGGACAACATTTACGAGTGCTGCAGTGAGGCTTAGCTGGCGTGTGAGACCAGAACTGCTCCTGGAAGTGACCTTTTCTCCAGTGCACTGTCTCTGCTAAGGAACATGCCTTTCAGTGACATCTCTATATTTAGATAGATACATATTTGGTTGTGTCATTTGTGGTCATTCTGAAACCCAGCCGGTGGCAGGCACACACACCTGGTGAGATGGGCTGGCGAGGAAGGAGACACTGCCTACAGCTTTTCAAAGAGCTCAGAATCCCTTTCATTATCTGCACTGCCTGGCACCCATAATTTATTTGCTCTTTCAAGCCAGAAATGGAGAGGTGATGCTCGCAGTGAACTGACTACCTGCTTCCAAGCAGCCATTGGTTTCCTGTGTTCCTGTTTCTAGAGAGAAATGCCTTGTGGACTAGCAACAGAGTTATGGAAGTGGTAATGATGGACATGAGCAGTGGGGCAGCTGCAGGAAGCAATGAACAGAGATATCAAGGGCCATCAGGGCTCCCGTTCACAATGTCCCTCTGACATCTGTGTACTTTAAATACCAGGGAATCTATTTACTGTACACTCTCTGCTGCATTAGGTGTATTTTGTGCCTTTTATTTTTGTACTGTATGTTTAAACAGAACCACTCCTTCATCTGAGACTTGTGCGATATGGGGAACTCATGGACTGGGCAATGTGATTGCTTCCTAAGTAGTCAAGACATGTGAAAGCACTTTACCCCTAACAGAAGTGGCTGTTATCTAGCTGGAGGGATTGCATTGTACATTAGGCAGCATCACACAAGAACAAACCAGTGCAGCTGTTCCCACTTCCCCACGTTTCCCAGATGTTTCTGCACACACCGAACTGGAGTTTACAGCGGAATTGACAAATCTTCCCTAAATAGCTGCCTTTCACCCCTGTGGTGACAGGAATAATTTACCCACAGTAGGAAAATACAGATGATTGGGTCAAAGGGAAAACTATCCTTCCCTTTATTACATCTTCTCTATGTGAGCAGGCTCACACACCACTCCCTCCCACCCCCACCTCCAACCAAATTCTGTTCTCAGGGCAGATCTAGAGTAATGCCATTGACTTCAGCTGGACTTATTTCACATTCACACTATTGTCACAGAACAGAATTGAGCTGACCTCTGAACGTCAAGTAGGTATTTAGATTTCCACCTGATCTAGGGTGGGTGCTACAAGGTTGATACAGGCCTGATCAACACATTTTCGGCCTCCTAAGCAAAGAGGAAAGGCGATATTCTGTTCTGCCTTAAACCACAGCATTGATGGAGTTACATAGGTATGATGCTGGATTAACACCTTCACCTCACTGCAGCTTTTCTCTAGTTACTCTGGATTTACACAAGGACAGAGTTTCATCCTCATGCAGGTCCCATTATCCCTTCAGCCCACCTAGCTGCAAAGCCTGGAGCTCCAGGCCTCTTGGCCCCTTCTTGCCAGGTGGGGAAGGACCACACGTATCCCAGCATTCATCCTGGGCTCCTCTTTTACACAGATATACATCTCCAAAGCCTGCACTCACCTCCCAGAAAAGCCAAACTAACCCTGAACCTTTCTCCCTGGCTCTGGCCTTTGCCGATGGCACCAAACTTTGAATGCGAAATTAAAAGCAAAACTACTACCTCGCCAAAGGCAGGTTTCAAAGGGGAGTCTGCAATCCTCATTAGCAGCCAGCTGATCACTTGGATAGGAACAAACCAGCCCTTGAGCTCCTTGGCTCCAACAGACATCCTCCTGGAGGACTCATTGCCATGAACAGTTGGGCTTTGTTTTCCTGTAGCTAGAGATTTAACAAGTCGCACACATACTCCAGTGCATTTAACAAATGGCTTGCCCGCAAGAGCAGAGAAGCACTGACACTGTGGATGTTCAAGCCTATTTTCTGAACAAGTGGCTTCAGAACAGAATCTTTAAGGTTGTAGCTGGGCTACACACTATTGAGAGAGAGAGATTTAAAAAAAAAAAAAAAAAAAAAAAAAA